GAACGTTTCTTTAGTTTTAGAGAGTAGAAGGATGAATTTCACTAAAAAAACAAAGAAAACTCAAAGATATTTTTCCTTTTTTCTACAGCAAACAGGTTTTGGGCAGCAGAAGGCGGGCATTACTGCTAGAGCGTGATGATTGATTGGCGAGCGGAGCAGCTCATTGGCTGTTCGCACTCACTGACATCATGAACGTACATGAGGCGCCGTTTTAAACTCCTGTAACTCGAGTTTAAAAGCTCTTAACAATATAACAGCGGTGTTAAAATGTTTTATGATATTCAATGTTCAGGAAATGAATGAATTCTTTTACATTAAAAATGTTTGAGCATTTATAAACTATGATTTTGCTCAAATGCTCCATATCAACCCATTCATTTTGGACTCACTCGGGAGCGCCCTCTAGTGTTTGAGAAACCCGGAACACATTGCAGAGTGGTGATTCTCCTCTCTACAAGTTCACTGTTAAAAAGACAATGGGTCCGATTGGGTCGCGATTACGTCCGGTTTACGCGTTAGCAGGGTAAAGCTAACTTTTGCTCCATATAACTACTGCAGAAGTGAAGACAAAATGTCATAGTAGTGTACTATAATGACAAACAGTGAGCACAGAAAGTGGATGGAAGCAGTGATTTACCTTTAAACAGAGCTAAAATGCTGTATGTGGGGTGTAGCCCTGCTTACTGCTGCTGCAGCTGCTTCAAAGTCTCTCTGCCTTTGTACAACATGCCAGCAATTTCTGAGTAGCAAACTTTAAAGCTACCTGGCTAACTGAGTTAGCGATCTGCCAAACAGCATCATTCTTTTAGTTTCATGGTCATTTTTGAAGCAGTACTTCGGATAACTTCAACCTTTCACTGCTCAATCAAAAACGCGACTCCTAGCTAACTTGTATCTTAGCGTCGCGGTTATGCTGGGACATTCTGATTTCCATTTTCTGACAAAGCCAGCTAACGTTAGCTGTTTGTACCAAGCTGATCATGTAAGAATCATTTCCTTGACAGTTTATTGCCTCATTAGCTTCTTAAAGATGACTACAAAATGAATTAGTGATGCAGAAAAGCTAATCTAGTTTGGGATAATAGCTACTGTTAGCAATAGCTTCTAGACAGCGTAGCTAGCTTAATATAAATGGAGTCCATCAAATTCATGCTACATATAAAAGTTCTTCTTTCTTTTGAAAACAGAAATATTACAGAAATCGCTGGCATGTTGTACAAAGACACAGAGACTGCTTGAAGTGATTAGCTGCAGCTGACTGCAGTAAAAACAAGGCTATTCCACACATTTTAGCTCTGTTTAAAGTTAAATCAGTGCTTTATCCACTTCTTATTCTCGCTGTTTGTCACGACAGTGCAAGAAAACTAAAATATGTCTGTTGTAGCTCAGTGTTTGAGCATTATAGTACACTACTATATCATTTTGTCATCACTTCTGCAGTAGTTATATTGAGCGGACGTGAGCTCTACCCTGCTAACGCTTAAACTGGAAGTAATCACGACTCTTTGTGAAAAGGGCCCATTCTTTAAGCGTTCTTTAGTAAAGAAAATATTGTTCTATGGAAACCTTTTTGAAAATGTTGCAAGCTTGACATTGCAGTAGAAGAACCCCTTTTGGTGCTACATAGAACCATTTTCAAAAAGTTCTATTTACAACCACATACAACACATTCTCTATCGGTCTTAAGAACCATCTCACCATGCAAAGAACCATTTAATCATGAAATGGTTGTATATAGAACTGAGAGAAACATTGATAATCCCTGTGGTGTTACACAACCCTGACTGCTAGCCTAGCCACTGAGCTACAGGCTAATAAACACAACCAAGCTAGCATTAGCATAACTCCTACCTCAGTTGCTGAACAAAATAGTGAAGAAAACATTGAACGTGTCTTTATTCAGCACAAAATGGACACCAAAGACAATGTTTTACCCTTTTAGCCACGAAAAAGGAGCTAAACTGAGGTAAGATATCTAGCCAGACAGCATTTAGCTTTTAGCTGGTTGTCCACCTCATCTACTGAGTCATTTCCAAGTGATTGATTCTCTCCATTGTAATGATTTGAAGATAGTTACAAAAGCTGTACAGGTACAATATGATATTTAGCTTCCTAGCATTAACGCTAGCTAGCTTACTGGCCTTCTTTCAGTATTCTCCAGCTAATGAACAAAAACAAAGCAGTTTTATGGATTTATTTCAGTTATCTTCAAATCTGTTCAAGTAAATGTGAGGAAAAAAGTCTTTTTCCTTTGTATCCTGTTAGCACTTAATGATATTGAGAATAAAGTGTTACAAAATAAAAGCTCTCATTGTGGCTGGACTAGTAGCATGTTGGTTTTGTTTAGCACATTAACTTAGTTAAAGCTAGATAGCTAATGCTAAAGCCTCAGCTTTGAGGCTTTCAATGAGAGGTATGTAATATTTTATTATTAAGATTAAGGACTGTACATCATTTGCCAACAGAATATTGATGTTTAATAAAAAAAAGGTATCTTTATACTCAAATATATTTTGTTTTACTTTGGAGCTTTTATACCAAAAAGAAAATAACAGAGCCTAGCAAACTTGTGCTAACAGAAGCTGGATGGTTTCATCAGTAAATCTTTACTGAACAGCAGCGTTAATAAAGCTACACAACACCTACATGAGACTTTCATGACAACTGATATAAACCTATATAAACATTTTTAAATGCTTATTCCAATAAGGATCAGTTGATGTAACACTAGCTGAGGTGAAATGACCAAAATGTACAAAGCAGCCATAAATGCCTACATAGGTTTAAAGCCCTTTATTAAAGTGTTACTGTTTTTCTTTGCAGCTCTCACGCTCTGCTTGTTTAGGGGTTGTACCTGGATTTCTGTAAAGTTGCTTGATGGCAACACCCATCATAACAAGTGCCTACAAAGACATTTGAATTGAACTTAAAAATGGGTTGGATTGGAGAAACAAGCCTGTCTTGAGGTGAAGTGGGTGCGGACAAGGACTACAGAACAACAGTGGGTGGACTTTGATTGAGAACCACTGTGCTAAGGAGTTCCACTGTAGTTCTACTGGGGAACACTTTTTGATATTTTCTTAACACTTTGGTAAATGCCTCTGTGCTCCATCTAACCCGATCTCCAAAAGAATATTCCAGAATTTTTTTCAAACTCATCCCTATCTGCCATTTCTCTAACATTAGTTAACATAACTTTTACTGCCCTGTTGCGGCTCCACAGCTTAATTAGATTTGTAGGTAAAAATAAAATAATCCTCGTTTACAGTAAAATAAAGCTCTGCTGATCGTTCAACACAGTTTAACAGTAAATGGTCTTAAACTCTGGAGTTAATGTAGAACTGCTAATTCACACTATATGCAGACAGCTGGTTACCATAGCAACGCAGACAACAATCTCACCTAGCTAGTAGCTAACGAAACAGCAAAGAGAGAGATTTAAGATGTCAATAATTTGCATGTATAATCACTCCAGCTGGTTTCCAATTCAGATACAATTAATCTGCAACAAGAAATTGTGAAACACTAAAACGTCACAAAGCTGAACTCAGCTTCTAGTTCAGATTTTCCCCTTAAATGGTGCAGCAGTAACATTCTGGCACCTCGGCCACCATTTAAGGTGGAACAGTAAATAATTTGAACAAGACGCTGGCGAATGAAAAGTGACTTCAGCCACGTGAAAATCAAGCTTTGAGAGACATTTTACAAGAAACTGTTTAACTTTTGCGGAAAGGTTTCCTGCTGGAGATGTGAGAAAAGCAGCTATAGCTGAGCTAAAGCTTAAAGCAGAGCAGAGTAAGTCTGTGTTTTTGTTTTATTATTTTTTAGGCTATACTAGTACATCAGCACATACTGACACTAAAATGGACATAAAATGTTGTGGCTCGCAAGGTGTTTAAATTTTTGTTGAAAGGACTAAATGGCTCTCAACATTTGGGTTGCTGACCCCTGCCATCATTTCAATTCATCATCATTCAATTCGCTTATCATTAAAGCCAATGGGCAGTTGCTGAATTGCATGAATAAACAAGTGAAATATGGACAGTCGTGTGCAACAGTTTGAACATCCCCCAGTCGACTGACGTTTAGTTGATTGTGAAAATAAGTTAACGCAGCAGTGGTCACCAGCCCTGATCCTGGAGTTTAACCTTCCTGCAGAGTCAAGGTCCAACCACAATCCGCCATACCTGCTCCATGAACCTCTTCAAAAGTCCATTGTCTGGTAAGTGCGTGCTGGGATGGTGGGGGGTGGACGGGTGCAGGAAAGTAGATCTCTAGAAGGAGGGTTGGTGACCGCTGCACTACAGAACATTTAAATATTTTTCTGCCAATTTTAGTGCACAATATCTATTTATTCCAACATAGTTGAAACATAAAATGTGCCATAATTTTTGCACAGGTCACCTTTTCAGCAAATAAACTTAATTTCACTCAGAAATTCAACAAAACATTAAATTTGGCCATACGACTGGATATAACCCAGATTCTAAAACCCAACCATTGCTTTAGCCTCTGCCCATTGTCTTCTATTATAGGTGAGCCTGAAGTCAACCAGTTTTCTGTTCTTTTCTAAGTACAGGGATGCGGGTTCACATTCTTGTCCGCGGTAACTGATCATAGGCTTCAGATGCAGAAGATAGCGATTGTGTTTAAAAGCACGGAACTATTCCTTTAACCTTAGCAAGCAAAAGTTTGGCTTCTTACTTTTTTGATAATACAGCTGCATTTTTTGGGAGGGGGGCATTTTGGAGAACCCTACAACCAGGAGGGATTTGGTTCTAATATAAAGGGATAAACAAACAGCCACACACAAACAGTCTGGTTCAAATCTGGCGAAAAGAATGCGCTGCAGTGGGACCAGAAAGACCAAAACAAATAAAATAAAAATTGAAGAGAGACAGCATGTACCGTGAGAGAGAGAGAGAGAGATGGGTGGAGGTGGAGAAAGGAGAGAGGGAGGGCTTAAAGGTGTGTAGGAGGAAAGTTTTGCCTTGCATGTTTTTTTCTCTCTGAGTTTAAAAGGGTGGGATGCCGGCACGGCCCTTATTCAGGGTGAGAGTTTCCACACGGCTGCTGCAGGACTCTCGTCCTCGACCTCATCTTCCTCACCTTTGTGGGCACCTCTCGGGCAGACTGAAGCATCATGAGCAGGCAGAAGGCGCTCCTGGAAAAGCTGGCGCAGACCTTCCAGATCCGGAACCTGCTGATGCGCCAGGCGCTGGCTGAATGTCTTGGCACCCTCATACTGGTGGTAAGAATTGTTTTTCTCACTGATGAGGTTAGCGATGAGCGAGTTGGTGGAAGCTGTGGTACATTTGCTTGGCCAAGAAACTGCTGTCATAACCAAACTCGGTAACACTTAAGAAGCCTGTATTCATAAGCCATTATATATAGTACTTGGTAACAATGCTCCATAAGCTTTTTTAAACTCCTCAAGGCTCCAATAATAAAACTATAATTCATTCTTCGGTGACTTTTTAAACATTTTAATGCCTTTTAAATGGATAATGAGCTGCGCATAATTATAAAGCGGCTATAATATTAACGATTAGAAAAACATTCTAAACGTTTCACTGCTTTGAAATTTTGTTATTCTTTGTTATAAATCAATTCTATAAACTTTGTTTTTATAATGTGAGGTTTTAATTATGAAAGCACAGACATATTAGTGCAATTTGAAAACTTTACTTTTGTTTCGTAGCAAATAGGACCAGAATATTCTTTGTTATACTTGGCTGAAATCTCTCACAGCTGATCCTGTAATAATAAAAGATATATAGAACAGTACTGAGTGCAACATTTAACATTCAAATGTAACTCAGTGATGGCTTTTAAATATTGATAATGTTTTTGAGTTGTTGAGTGCTTTATAATTATGCACAGAACAGTATTTGATGCTTGGTCAATAGTGTTAATTGTGTTTATACATCATCAAATATTTAATTATTAAAGCAATAAGCCATGAGAGGAAGTGCATTACTGCAATTTTATAAAATCACTGTAATGCACGGCCTCAAGTGGCTTATTCCTTTTATAAAACAGTGGCCAACATAAAATATGATCAAATACACAACAAAGTTATTAATAATAGTAATCGACATAAACATGTATTCTGCCAAGAAATATAGTTCCTTTAGAGTGTGGTGTCATTGCCAAGCAACCATGGACCACCGAATGAGGAGAATGTTTCGTCGCCCAGCGCTGTATATTTTGGTCATTTTATTAATTTTTTTACTTTTTGTTGTATAACAGTGAACATATGATAACGCAGCACTGTTTAATGTAAAAACGTTCACTTTATAAGTACTTTTTGGTCACCAAATTACCACCGCGAGTCTTATTCAGCACGAATCCAGCTGCACCCTCTTCTCATGCTGGGGCTGAATCTAAAATGGCTCCCTGCTCCCTACATAGTGCACTACATAGGAGTTTAAATACTGGATCCTGCAGCCCAACAGAGCAAAATACAGCTAAGAAATAGTTATTTGGGACTCAGACACATCCACACTCGATACATGATGAAATATTTTGCTTGTAGAGGTTAGAATTTCTAAACTTTCATAGCTAGAACACTATTTAGGGAGTACAGAGCCATTTGGGACTCAGCCTGGGTTTGACGTGACTTCTGACTGAAACATTTGAAGTGTGCGAGACATTCAAGTGACATTTTTAGACTTTTATACTGCCGTTTTACAGTTAATCATACTGTAAATACTTTAATTCAAACCTCTGGTATTAATGATGGAGCTGTTTAGACTGTTTTCTATCTTTTAGCCTGTTAGCTATAGCTAAACTAGCTGTTTTAGTGAAGAACATGAGTTGCCAGCCCCTCAGTTCACGGGTTCTGAATGATACACAATTCAGTTGCTGCTCGGCAGTCATAGGTGTGCATATATCACAGATTTTACAATGGCTTCGAACACAGCTCAGATTTTAGAACCGGAACCATCTGTTTTATAAAGTTCATTATTACAGCCTTATGAAGCCTTATTAGAGTCTATAAGTATGCTTATGAAGAATTGTTACCGAGTTACAAAGAGTTCGAAGCACATTTAAAACTATTTATAAATACACGCTTCACAGAAATTATTTTCCTTTTTAGCAAACTTCAAATAAACAAGCATTACTCAGCATCTCCCTCTAAAGATGTTATAACATCAGTCAGAAGTCGATGTGTCTGAATGTTTTTTGTGCTTTCTTTTATATACATGTATTTACTTCAACCCAGCAGATGATGACACGCCCAATCCACATTCCATTTGTGGAAAATAGCTGCAGTCAGCTTATGTAACTGCATTTAGGATATGTTGTCATTGTGACAGGCCTATAATCTTAAAAATTTTTGGGCTACTCCTTTGCCCCTAGTGCTGCAAACCAATGCCAGTTTGAAAGTTTCGGCTTGATCAGTTTGTACCATCAGTGACCGCCTGAAGCTATACTAGTTTAGGCCTTTGTGCCGAACATGCCAAACACACTATTCCCCGAAACATCTGGGTGATCCAAACAAGCAGGTCTATGTCTGGTCCTGTTTGGTGGGTACGTATCTAAAGCCAAACTCTTCGCTTCTTTTTCACTGTAGAACAAAATGATTCTCAGGGGGTGTACTGAGCTGTTCCATGCCGGTGCGCACTCATGAGACCGGTTACGGTTTCTTTTTCTAACTGCTGTGCTAATAAATAAGAACCAGGAATCACCTGAAGAAAACCACAAAAACACGAGAGGTTCAGCAATGGCTAACAGGCTAAATGCTACATAAAGCACCGAATACGTTCGATTCCGGCTGTGACTCCACTCACTCGACGATACGCTTTCGGATATGAGTGTTTAGAAGATAAAGACTCAAACAGAGCACAATTTAGTCAAAATCAAATCTGTCCTCTGATGTGTGGATCTGTAGACCACTAGCTAAGCTAGCTAGGACAGTGGAGCTGCCTAGCAGTAGCCTAGCTAGCAGGCTACAGATCCAAACACCACAGAACAGGTTTAATTTTGGCACTCAACTTCACTTCTACACTTTTGTTGAGGCTTCTGTTAGTCAGCTGGCAGCATGCTAGCTAAGCTAATACTACCCAGCTACTTTCTCCTGGTTAGCAGCACCGTTTAACATTAAAATCTTGCACTGCTTTCATTTATTTGGCGTCCATGTGAGCGACGTGATTTGAAGTTGATTGCTTTCAGGTTTGAAATAACGTAGCAGGATTTGGTGGCACACTGTTAGCTAACCGTGTGCCCAGCCTGGTTTTTAAGTGTTCAGTGTCAAACCAAGTCCGTGTGGAAATGTCTCTGTAACGATTACCCTCCATGCTCAGAACCCAGCTTACAGAACTACTCCACATGGTTTGAGGCAAGTGGGTGATGATTAATGCAGTTAGCGTAATGCTAATTTATGGGGTATAAGCTCTGTTTCTTGTTAGCTACATTAGCCAAGCAGATCTATGCTAAAAACAAAGAAGTCTGCCACCAAACATGTCTTGGCTGATCATCAATGACCATGTTGAGTAAATTTGGAGAACTGTATGTAAAAACATCTCTTTAAGGGAAAGAAAAATGCGTTTAAGTATACTTTTCTGAGTGAATTTAATACGAAAAGTACATATTTTTAATGTTGACACTTTCAACATTCCTTAATACATACTGAATACATTATTTTGGAGCAACTTATGACATATTAAGTAAAAATTGTAAAGTGTTCGAGTGCTTTTTCGAACAACTTCAGTTGCACTTAAGTAGATTTAAGCATGTTTGTAGACATAACTGTTATTGCACTTGGAAAGTGTTACAGGATATACAGGATGTACTGGATGATACTCTTATACTTATTGAGTTATTGCAACTAAATTGCACTTAAATGTGTTTTAAATTAGATTTCAATATCTTTAAATACACTTAAATACATTTGATAAATAAAATGCATGCAAAAGAAAAAAACTTAAGTGCACTTTTATAGCACATAATTAGGCATACACTTAAATATACTAGAATAAATACCTAAACACAACTTATATATACTTAAAGGTTAATTTATGTTCTGTGCCTTTTCTGTTCTAAATTGGAAACTATGTTGCTAAACACACATTCCAATACACTTAAAACATGTTTTAAGTGTTTTAAGTATATTTTACATGTATTTCCATAAAATACAAGAGATTAAAAATACATATTTTGAGAATTATCTGCATACTTCACGTATACTGTTGATGTACTTAAGTACGCTTATTTACACAAGAAAGCTGCAGCACTGCAACACTTTTTCTCCACTATATCCCATAATAAAGGGAACTTAAAGGCCCATAGATGTTTTTATGAAACATGACGGGGGGGGGTTCTTCCAAGAAGCACGATTTCTGAGGTGACCAGAAGTCAAGGTGTCCAAGAGGTGTGTCCACTTTGTCCTCTCCCTTTGGATAGCTTCAGCTTTTTTGGCTCCAAGGGGCATTCCATGCAAAATCCTTCATTTAAAATGTGATTCTGAACCATGAAGACAATTTAGAAAACTTTTTTCAGCCCTGCATGACTGGACCATCTGGAATTAGTGGCCATGTGTCTTGGTGACTTTGACTTTAAAGGAGTGCATGCTTTTATTATTAAAAAATACAAAGAGGCCCATAAAATCAGAGTTTATTTATAAAAATAATAATAAGGAGAAGGATAAACTATCGCAACTACAAAAAGACATATTTGAACAACCCTGCCTGTTCTGCCTTGAGAGGAATCATGCCTGTTCTCCAGTGGTCAGATTATTGTTACTTATTTTCACTTAGAAAACCAACAAAGCAAGGAATGTCACCCTGGGCGGCCAAATTTTTGTGTACATCTGTAAAATATCAACTTTTTTCATATTTAATAACTCCATCTTTTGCCTTTATAACAGCTTCTATTCTTTTCAGGAACCTTGCTTTCAGTTTTTTTAAAGAAATCTACAGAGATATTTTTCCACACTTCCAAAGTTCAGTCTTAGGAGCTGGTTTTACATGCTCTGTTTCTCATGATCCAAGTAATCCCAAAGACATTCAGTGATGTTGAGGTTGCTTTGTTACTGTACTTAACTAACCACTCTCAATCCTGTATTGGGTTTCTGTCCTGTTCCTGGTCCCAGCACTGCCTAGTTTAATGTTCTCCCAGCTTTAACACACGTTTCAACTTGCCAAAGCCTTCATGGGTTGAATGAGTTCTGCGGTACAGACTTCAGCTGTTAGCTTATATAACTATGCTAGTTGTAAATGCTGCTTTTTCCTGAGGGGAAAAAATCCA